TATAAACTTTAATCCCCTTCAAAAAACTTTTCAAATCATGATGGATGAATGAATGGACGTACAAATGCAGATCGCATCATCTTCAACTCGCTTGACAGATTATAATCTCCCTATAACGACAGCTTCAGATACGCGTTCAAGTGGAGCGAACAAAAGTTTATTTACTCGTTCATATTTGCCGTTTCGTTGTGTTGATATCCACTGAATCCTTGTCAGTGCTAATAAATCAAGGTTTGCCATGTGGGTACGATCGAACTGACATTGCATCACTCTGTCCGTCTCCAAATCCCATCTTGATATGGACAAATTTGATTCATCGATTCGTGACAGCCTATCATTGCATTTTCACCTGTTATCTGCTATTCAACTAAGCTGTTGTTTTTGACGTGAGGATTGCTTAATGAGTGTTGGCTGCTGCATTTGGCGGCTGTCTTCGTTTTGCATGATCATTTTAAGATCAATTCACGGATGCACATTGCTCCAGTTGATGTCGTTCTGAAGACGTTTCAAACGTTTGAAACACCATGTATAATAATATTATTAGAGCTTGCATCTTAGAAATTACATTAACGGTCAGAATAACTCCATTTCGAATGCGCATCGGATGTGGTGCGTTCAGCTCAAATGACACTCGACGATTTCTGAAAGTGATGTTCATTTCTCGCTCTTGCCTTTTCGTTTTTGCTTGAAATGGGTGTCGCAATGTAAACAAAAGTACTAATTTAATTGTTGTGACTTTTTAGCATTAGACGTTTCTCTGTAGCCAGCAATCATTGAATGTCATCTGATTGTCAGTGGATGCTGTTTTTTCCATTGTTCTTTGAAAACATTTATCAGCCACAACGAAAGAAAACTTCCCGAAAAACTATTTCTAGCAAATAGTGCGAAAAACGATGTTCGAATAGCAAATTAAGATTTCTGTTCATTGCGGTGGCTGATTTCCTCTCATCATTACCGTAAGCAATTTCTTTCCAATTAGAATGGTTTCATTGATCAATGAAATACAAAAATAGGCAACTGTACTTCATTATCCTTTCCCCAGACATTTCTCATCAACTTGTTTACGATTGTTCAGGAAATATTGTCACTTTAGTTGTATTCATGATAGCACTGAACAAACCTAATTAAAACCAAATATTTTTGGTTTCACGGCTATCTGATATCCTCTTGGCAAACACCATCGATCAAATAACAACACAATTTTCAATTGCCATCGATACTGGACGTTATTTGTTTGCTTATTTGAATCTCTCTTCAACTGTTCATTAGGGGCAACATCTCGTTCATATGATTAAGAACATTTCAGTGATTTGTTCAGCTGCTCCATAGAATTACTAATAGATCGTCCACGTCTCCAGTTTGAACTGATGACGTAAGCGGAAGAATGAAGGGGCATTGGACTGGGTGGATACAGACTCTCTCCAGATTTTCAGCACAACATTAATTAGAGTTTTCGATGGTGTGTCACGTTCGTTTCTTTGTAGTACAAATGTTCTTCTGAGAATTTTCACAAATCCCTAGATGAACGTTTTCTATGCCTTCGACGGATTCTGAAACGAATAGCGTTGATCAATTCAACGAGAAATCGATGCGAATCAGAGGAATTCGCTCGAAGCTTTGAACGAATATTTGATTTGTTAACAAACGCGCAAATATTATGATAATTCTCAGCGATTTGTGAACAGCTAACTCATTACTTATTACTCGACTCCCACGTATCGCTTCCAAGAAACATTTGCTGTTGCGTGTACTGAGTCAATAACAAACTTTTGTTATTACCGCGAGGATTGATCTGAAGACTGATTCGAACATTGAATTGAGCAACATTTGTGAAGTACAATTCTGTTCTCACAATAAGATTTTCCATATTGTTTTTCTCATATGTAATATCAGTGTAACAAGCAGAATTTTTTTAATCCCAATGCTTTTTGTATTTTCAAGCTTACTGCAACATGCTACTTAGGTAATGCGCTCTCCTCTGCCGATCAGTCGTGTCGTTTGATTGTTTCACCAATTTTTACCTTCATTCGCAAATAAAATTTGGCTGAAAGGATATTCACTGTTGTGTTGCTGACCAAAAAACAACGGAGCATATTGTTATTCGCTTTACCGCATCATGTTGTTTATGATGTGATTGAATTTCAGAAAATCTAGTCACTATCTGATCAGAATACCGGAAGTGATAATTTATAGCTGACAGAAAACATTTTAATAGAAACATTAATTGTAAGAGAGAAAACAACATTCATAATTGTCGTCAGCGGAAGGATAGTTCAATGCTTTTGAAAATTTGAAGCTTTTTAATTCGACTTTTTTAACCGATTAGAATGAAGATTCAGTAGGGAGAGCATATCCTCGATATTTGCTTATAAGCGTACAGTGCCTTCGATTATTCTGTTAAATCACGGGAAAATGTTTCGGTATCACTCACAGTCCGCATATATCGAAGGCACTTTTGCTTGCTTATTCATTTTGTTTATTGCGCTTATTTCTGGTTGAGTTGTCGGATCTGATTCCGCTGTTCCAATCGCTGGTACCTTCAACATTCCAGCCAATAATTCTGATGCACTTTTGTCACGTTTATTCTATTTCTGCTATTGTTCATGGTTCGGCGTATTTTCAAAACATCAACTCACCACTTCCTCAGCATAAAGCAAACAGCTATTTTATTGCGCGTAAGTGAATTGAATGAAATGGACAAGCCAAGCCATTCCACATGACGGTTTCAATTCAATTACGCTATTTTAAATTCATTTCGATTAATATTACTTCATTTGTTAGCGCATTGTGCTCATTGTTCATTCCATAATTGCGTAATGCTTACGCTTGATATTGCTTCTTTTGTAAGTAGTCGTAAGCATAAAGGTTTTGCTTTTGTTCTTTTACCTATTGAACAAGCTTTTATGTATTATTGAGCGCCATGCCATGTTTTTGACATTTAGTGATCACATTTGATTTGCGAATGAAGAATATACATGAAGTGATGCCATGACGTAACACAACACCTCTCCCATATGAATTTTCCATTGTACTCATCAAATATCAAGTGACAACGATGTTCACAAACGTCTCATAAGTGGAGTAAATGACTTAGTTAATCAAGAATCACAATAAACGCCAACATTCAACAGATTATTGATGGATGGACTGCCGACAATTCCAAGCAATATCCTGTTGCTAAACCATCTGAAGCGTGCAATAATGTGCTATTTTTTGAGAGGAGTGTTTCAAGACTCGATAACAGCCTGTGCAATTATTAAACTCGTTAAGAAGCACTTCGAAATCGCTCCCCGAGGAGAGTACTCAACAACAAATCGCGTTTCACACCAGTCGTCGGCATCGTTCCGACCATTGTTTTACGATCGCATTCAGTTGTTACTTTCACATTCGGCGTTGCGAATTCCGTTCATTCATTTATTCAAACACTGGCACATTGCAAATGTTCAGCTGATCGAATATGCATTCGATTCGATTCACCCAAACTTCTGTCCTCACTCGCAATTAACGCACATTCACTTATTCGCAAGTGTATCTATGTAATTGTTAGTTTTTCAACAGTATGGTGCAAGGAAAGAAAAAAAACATAACATGAAAGCGCTGGTGACCATTTTAATGGTTTAATTTGCATAAATTACAACGAACTTTTCGAGAAAACGAGAAAAATTGTTTTCTGAAAGCTGTACATAACTTCTGAATATTTAATAGAATTAACCCTTTGCATGATCGCGCATTTTTTAATTTTTTAAAAGGATTTCGCAGTGATTCTGAAAATGTGCCGTTAATAATCAATTAATTATGAAATAAGATTGATCGACACATTCCGTATTCCTACTAAAGCCCACAACAGTTCTTTCGCAACTATCACATCCTTTTTCAGTACTTCTAATATAATATTTATCGCTTCTCAAGTTGTTTATGAACTCAAAAACTGAAATTTTGAGCGCATTAACTGCTTCAGTTAGATCAACGAAACCGATCAATGCTTGAAGAATACTACGCCAGAAAACTCCCGCAATGAATTACTCTACCGTTTGGAAGTGATACGAATTGGGGTTAGGTTGAAGGACCTCTACCGTCGGGTAGTGGTTCTTCAGCCTAAACCTCCGACCTGAAAGACCTTTTTACGACTATCTGTTGCACCGAATCCTAGTTGGTGGGTGTTCGATGCCCCGAATCCTAGTACAAAGTGACGACCACAAACCCTAATGCAAAGTATCACTGCTGTTTGTACAGACTCAATACTCAATACTGCCAACTATTTTTTTTTATTGCTCAGCTATGCGTTATTGTTTCCTTCTTATAGAATAATCAAAACTGCTTGTTATGCGCTCATTCGCACATCATTCAGTGAGTTTCATCGAACTACGCTAACTCACAAGCGATCGATTGATTATTAATGATTGCAATATGCAATCTTCGTTCGATACAATGAAACGTGCCGTTAAGTGGTATATTTCAGACGTATCGTATGCGTGAATTTCTTCACCGGGCCTCGTCGTTTTCCAATCGTAGCTCTATTGATGGAATGAATGGTGCGATTTTGTTTTTGCTTCTGCTTTTTTCATCTACTCCTCTGGGAATGCTGGGAAATTGTATTATCTGATTGGATGATTTGTGAGTGACTGAATGCTGGCGGTAGTTTTATTGATGAAAGGAACATTTTACGAACGAGATTTTTCAAAAGTTTAATTACATCACAGTTTTCATACTGATTTATTAAGAAAGGATGACTTGAGTGAAAATGAAACATCCGATGCATTTCGTATGCAGTGAACATGTAAGATTCAGTTTCTTAGCATCATGTTCTGGTGTTATCAGCATTGATCAAACACACACCAGTCCAGTGGTGTTTTATCTAGAAGATCTTATAATGCTAAATAGACTGCAATAGATAAAGTAAAATGTACAGACAGATATGACTTGTGAGGGATATGTCGTGCTTTCGAAGAAATTTTCTGTAAACCTGTAACATTCAATGGCAAACAGATTTGTTTGCAGAAAAGCTCTCGTCCAATACAATACTGAAACTGAATATTGGTGGAACATCGTACCGCATTCGCCAGTCTACACTTCTTTCACGTGGTAACTCAAGTCGTTTAGCGCATTTTGCTCAGTCTGATGCTGACACAAGATTGAGCTATTGTGATGCGTATCTTGCGGTGAGTTTTTCCTTCGTTGCATTCACTTGCACCTGCCTAGAAATCTTTGTTGGTTTACATGAGAAAAAAATATTAAACTTAAAATAAACAATATCACCTCAAAGGGAAAAGATTTTTCAACTCCAATGATGAATATGAAAGAAAAACAGCTTCGTATCAACTTCATCCTCGTTGCCTTTTTTATCTCTTCAGTATACCTGGATAAAAAGTGATAGTCACTTCAGGCTGTCTTGCTACATTTTCATCAAACTAGGATTATCTTTAGCCGCTGATTTGACCTCAATCCTCGGATCACATGACCTCAATCCTCGGATAACAAACCAATCGCCAGCATAAACACTGCAAACATTTTCTTTCCATTCATCAATCATTTGATATTCTGACAATCTTGTCTGTTCCTTGTCTGCTTCAAATGTTCCACCGGTGTAATGCTATTTGATACACATCGACTAATCACACTGGAAGCAGTTGTTTTCCATCATTTACTTCATCACTATCACAAGAAAATTAAAGCAAACTGTTTCAAGGGGGCTACATTACTCAGAAAAACTCATGTTTCTTTTCCTCATTTCACATTTTCTCATAGAACAAATAATTTTAAAAGACGAATATTCGGAAGAAAGTGATCGATTTTGAAATGAGTAACTTAAGAATCTAGTCATATGGTCATGTTAAATGATCATTATCAACTACTGTCATTCATCAATAACGAGTGATCTGCGTTTCACTTTCCATCAACTCATAAAAAGCAAAGTTCGTCCAGCTGGATAACACTGATGCTCTAGGTATAATTTTCAGTACAAAATAAATATTAGTATGATGGATGGATAAGAAAAGTAGCCACTGGACACTAGCGGCTTCATCACTGCATGCTTCACCTCAGAACTTCAAAACACTCCTCCATAACGTCAATCAATGCTCAACGAATTTTAGGCTACCGACGAGTATTATTTTGAGCGTTCACCGAGACTCTTCGAAGCGATCTTCAAATATTATATTAGTGGTCAACTGCATCGACCGTTGGATGTGTGTGCGACTGAATTCAGCGCTGAGCTCAACTACTGGACAGTAGCCGATGATCAGTTGTCGCCATGCTGTTGGCCTGCATATCAAATGTACGCCAAGTTTCATTCTGAGTTGTGTTTTCGAAGAACTGTCAGTTAAATATTCCGATGGGACTGGTGGCCATTCACGCCATTTCGTGACAGTTACTCAAATGAATCTTTGTTTACTCAGCTACACAAATCTAATATTTTAAAACAAAGAGATGACTGTTCTGAGTGGGGTAACAGAAGGTTCGAGGGAACAAAACAGCAAAAGCATTTATCAGCGAGCGATTGTCTCGGGATAGATAAATATCAGTGTGCATATGTCACAGTTGCATTGAAACATTCCATTGTGATTCTTAAAACTTTGCGCTGACAATGAGTATTTTTACAAGTGCACGACACCTTTTTCGATGTTTTCTCGTGAGTGATGAGAAACTTTCTACGAATCGTTGCAGTAACGATGTGTGTGTGAACTGCATTCCTTCTCAGCGATAACAGTAGAACACAGATAACAATAGAACAAACTCATTTTCCACAATAAAATGTTTTTCTTTCGAGTACGTTTTCCCTTATGTTAACAACATGAAATCGCAATGAAATCAGAACTTCTCATCGGACCCAGTTTGGGTGCATGAGACTATCACTACATTGAGGAATAACCCAGTTCGTAAGGCCTATGGCAATTATTCGTGGAAATGATTTTATGCGCATATTCCTTTCAGTCACAGAAATGATCGGCTGTTTTCAGTCGTGCAGTTTATGAAAACTCTCTATGATATTACACCGGTATTACACATAACTTTTATGGGCCAGAGAAGTTGCACAATGATAAAAGCATCCAGGGACACTGAAATAGTTTCATCAATAAAGTCTAGAAGTTTGATCTTATACACCGAGTAGAACTGGCTATTGTGGGAGATAAGATTCTCAGGATTAAAATTTTGCGAGCCTGATGAATGCTGTCGAACTGATGAATGATTTTGTAAAATGCCTCTCAGGCAGAAACGCTCGCGATTTGTGGATACGAAGGTATCAATTGGCGATACTCAACCGTAAGTTGTAATTGTTCACAATCTCCCTCTCTGACAAGATTGTATATGTTCCCTTTACTTGTTAGTGTCAGTTAGATCCTCACAAATCCCTCTTGATGAAAACCATTGTTCACCTTATAATAATATTCCGTGTGATTAGTATTCCTAGTGACTAACTCACCTTGCAAGGCATCTGAAGGTGTTCCTTTCTTGTAATTCTTATTAAGATAATGCGATTCTCATTGGGTGTGATGAAAATGAAACAGTTCACGGATGTGTTCATCAGAGGAACGGATAAACTGGGAAAGTCTGATGGTATGGGCATACCTAGATAAGAGAAAATGAACTTGCTGAGAAAAGATGTCTGTCGAAAATAAAAGTACCCTCGAAGAGAGGGCCAGACCGACCACAACGAAGTTTTATTCACATAATAACTAAATATATGGGAAATGCAGAAAATGCAGCAGGACGTGCTCATTGGAGAAGTAAAAATTTCTGTGGTGACTCTCAATAGAATATCAGACAGGAACATAAGAAGTTGCTCTGTAGTTTTTAACCGTTGTTAATGCCTCACATCAGTTGTTGTCCACTGTATCGCACAACGTTCAAGTGATTAACACGGGTGTTCATGCGAGAAGCTGAGGGGCTGCAGCTGAAAAATCGGGGAGTAATACATCACTGGCAGGGATGTCGATCAGAAAGTCGGGAGGCAAAAATGTGGGAGATTGCGCCCCGTCGGGTACCCTGTTCGTCGACGAACACTAGTTAATACTACGATGTTTCATTTCGCTTCAACAGTGCAGTCGCTTTCCCGTGTCGACGCTTAACTCACGATTAGTATCGATGATTGTATCGATGATTAGTATCGATGATTGAAGAGTGCATGATTTTCTTCTCAAATTCAACTAATCATGAACTTATTGTTGATGNTATAATGTTCACAAGTGCTGAAGTGCTTCGTGTTGATCAATCGGTTTTGCAGGGTGCTTGATTCGGTGGAATTCGGTGATAATCAGAAGTCGAGTGAGGCATTCGACGGTAATCGAAGTATTCGTATGAAAATTCATAGGTTTTGTGAGGGTGACGGTACGACCGCATCCACTCTCTTCTCGTTCGCGAGCATTTCGTTTGTGCTGATCTCTGTACTAGGACTAGTCTTCGGATCTATACACGAATTTCAAGTTTGTATTATTAATTATCTTCAACTACATGTTAGTGTTAGGTGTTAAGTCAGTATTCGAATGTTGAGTTGAATATGCAAGCATTATTGTGCAGCCTCAGCGCAGTGTATCAACCGAAATATGTGCAGCCTTGTCCTTCTGCATGAGTTCTGAAAATATATTGTATTGATCGATTCTTCGGCTCCGAAATTGAGATGGTGCGTTCAGAAAGCGGTTATCAGACTCTGTTGACAGCAACACTATTTGTTCTGAGTTGAATTACAATAAGAAGGGCTGATCCATTTTATCCTGAAAGCTCAATAAAATGATCACTGATGATCAAACGATCAGATCTCAATAGATGATCAAACACATTGTAGGATGTTGAATATTCATGAATTTCCTTTTGCAATGTAACAACTGAATATTTCAGCAGCCAATTGTGAAAATTGGATTGAAAACGCGACCTGCGAATCTATCGGAACTCGATGGTTAGACATCATCGTATTTTGCCCTGAACCTATCATTCTTCTCATTGCGATGATGAGCCTAGTTTACATCGTAAGCACGAATGAACATCGCAATGGAAACTTGAACAGACCACAGTGTACAGCTGCAATTCCTTCCACTAGTTCATTTGATACCCCTTCTTCAGTACTCCAAATAATTATAACGTTGTTTGATAGCAATAAGAAAGCTGGTGACCTGATAACGAAAACAGCGAGTTTCTAGTTATGAATAGAAGGAAATAGACTGAAGTCACTTTCGAGCAGTTTGTGTTTTTGACATCAGATGTCCCGGAAAATCTTGTCACCATTTTCATTACTCACTATTCACTTGAAGTCTTTTGATGCATCAGCGGAATTTCTACGTGTTTGTCTCATTGCTGTAAATTATCAGTCTCATTCATTCTAAATGACACAATTTTAAACGCATCGATAAAATTACAGCTGCAGATGCAATATCACAGCAAGAAGGTAAAAAATTTTGTATTGTTCCTGTGGCCATTCAGCAGCCATTTATTGGTATTGCTTCATGATGAAATGATAATTTATGATCTTTTCTTTTTTACTGCTCAGTGATTATGTTCCCTGTGGCTACCCTGTGCTAATCTAGATTAAACTCTCGATTCTCTTTTAGTTTTTTATTTTATTTTTGTTCATTCCTCCTCAATTTCGGTCTATTCACTAGCGCAATCTTCATCATTTTTGTTGCTTCTTTCGTTTCCGGTTTAAGTTCGCTTCATGTAATTCTCATGAGTGCCATATACATGATTCGTTTCTCCTCTTCATGCGCTTTTGAATTGGTTCTCCTCACTATGCCTCTTAGAAAGAGCTCTGTCAAGCTAACGTTGCCACATGGAAATTGTAACTGAATGACGGACCTTGTTTGGTGACGGAACAGGGTTCAGGTTAATGATCATCTGGATGTTGTTCAAACTACTTGGAAATTCGAGTAGCATCGTTGTTTTCGGTTGCTTTCCAATGCAACTTAGCTTCTTGGTCATAATGAAGCAGTAGATGCGCAGCATGTAAAATTATAACCGTTATACGTTTTGAAAATCCCCTGAATACATAACAGAAGCACATTAATGTACTATCGATTATTCTCCCTACAGAAGTGCCCATCGTGTTCAATCGCTTCACTAATTGAAGGGAATTAGAATAATGATTGACTGAATGTTCATCATGTTTATTCGCTTGGCCAATAGCGTTGAACGAATCAGTATGTCATACTGGTTATCGTAATCGCCATGATCAGCCTTTGATGGTCGAACAAAAATGCTGCCTGCATAAGAGTGTGGCATCAATAGTAAAAACACTAATTAAACAAATTAGTGCAAATGAGTAGACAAGTTGTGCAGAATGTTAATTGCAACATTCTAAGTAATCAATGGACGAGCGGTGAGTGATTGTTTCATGTTTTAGATGGGAAAACGCAAGTGATTTGGGAGCCATTGCCCATATTTGGTCATGTTGAAACAGTTTGTATAATCTGGTTTACGTTCGAATATCTTTTACGGATATCGGTCGCACCGAATCGTTTACAGTTTGTTTGCGGTATCATGAATATCGTCGATTTAATGGCTATCGTACCGTTCTACTTAGAAATTTCATTGGCAATCTGTGGTATTGATTTCGCGAGTTTGAGTGATATCAAAGGTTAGCAAGCTTGATGAACATCAAAGATTATGTCGCTTCTTGAGCTACTTTTCATACATTTGCCAGCCGAATGGAGATCACTTTTAGCAGCAGCTTTATGCTTCCTTAAGGAACTTATTGTAATTAAAACTATGTCATCAAAAACAGATGCAACCTGAATTCTATCTACGAATGTTTTTAACAAAACAAAAAATAGCAAATAAAGAATAATAAGAGTTTTCAACAAAGTCACCAAAAACAAATCTTTATGAGTTCCTACAAGCCAACGTGTCAGGTGCGTTACTCGTCATTCGAGTGTTACGAGTGCTTCGAGTGGTACGCATCCTGAAGTTGGGGCGATACAGCTCTGGAATGCGGACATTCGCTTTAACGCTGAAGAGCAGTGCTCGTCAGTTGGGCATGATGGGTATGGTTCTATCAACTGGAGTCGTCTTCTTCTCCACACTGCTTTACTTTGTCGAAAAAGACGAAGAGGCCACACCTTTCACCTCCATACCAGCTGCTTTTTGGTGGTTTGTTCTTGAAGTGATTATAATCCAACTGATGAGATATTTTTACGATCGACGAGTTCAGTATGAAACATTCTTAAATTTAATTATAATGTTGAAACACTTTTAAATTTAATTATAATGATGTATCGCTCACTTAGCAGTACATATTTGTATGATTCATTGTAAGCAATGTTCAGAACTTTTAAGATAACATGCGAGTAAGCAATGCAAAGGAATTCGATTCATCTATGGGCATTTTCATTTCTCTACTTTTTACAGTGAACTCCGCTCGTTTACTTGTATTTTACAGGGCAATTGTGACGATGACAACAGTCGGATATGGTGATTATGTGCCAGTTACTGTTCGTAAGTTTTACTCGTGTCTCGAAGTTGCACCACTTCGGTAGTGAGCAATGTCAACGTTTAGCATGTTTGCCAACGAACATTTCCCGATCCATATCGGGGCAGAACTGAGTCGAATCTAACACCATACATGGAAACTTAATATAATTAATTCGATTCTTGAATTTATGAATTATTCGAATCCAAACGAGCAATTTTTCAGCTGGAAAATTAATAGCGAGTGGTGCAATAATATCGGGTGTTTTGGTGCTTGCTTTACCGATCACAATTATTGTCGATAACTTCATGAAGGTTTCCGGGAAGTGAGTTCTTTCAATTGTTTTAGTTGTCATTTGACTGCTTCTGACAAATGAGCAAATCTTTGGCCTATTCGTTTTCGGTGAATTTCAGATGTAAATTTTAATGTTTGATTATGTTTCCGTGAATGCGATCGCTCGGAACGTATGCAACAATGGAAATTCATACAAGTGAATTGAATGCTATGTGAGTAGTTATTACGCTATAAATAAGCTGTTTCAGTGCAAATCCGAATCAAGTGTTCGGTGCAAATTCGAATGAAATGTTCGCCGCAGCACCTCAACAAGAGGTCAACACGTGAAGTTATCAATGACTCGCTTCATTGAGCAGAATGCTTCAACTAAGTGACTTCATTCGTCTAGCGATAATCTCGATACCGTGTCCGCTCGAACAGCCCCACTATTCAGCATGCTCCTACCCTGAACAAACAACCTTCTGATCTTATGTTTGGGTGTTTAAGCGCTCATTTCGCCAAATTGTTGGGTCCATCAAAATACGTTCTTAAGTTCACTTATGGAATTCGTGATCTGTTACTTGATAAGACCTCGCTTTGATGCATTATCATTCATCATGCTGAATGAGCAGATTGACTGAATTCGAGAAAAACCGGTTTATTAATTTATTCGCAAACTTGTTCATATTTGTATATATAATTGCAAGGAATAATACCATATTCTTAATTTCTTTCATTCATTGTACTGTCACCGTTCAACAAAACAAGTTAACTCTGATCGTGAGTCTGTGATCGAATCGATTTCGAAAAAGACACAAAAAGAAGAACAGCAATGTTATGCAGTTTATCAGCTGAACAAAATGTAATCTACTGAGAGTGATTTCATGACACTGAAAGCCAAAAGAAATAACCATTTTCATTTATCTTCAAAGAGTTATTTTTTCGGAACACTCAAAGCAACAGAAACAGGCTGCTTGATGATATGCAAAAATGTTATCCCCAAAAAGTGTATCAGTGCATTTCTGATAAGCGAACTTCGACAATGTTAATGTTCGGTGTAATCGGTTGTGTTTTGAATTGTGGGCGATTCATAAAACAATGAAGACAATTTATTACGTAATATCTATGCAAGACCATAAAAGTGATCGCGATGAATCCATCTCGATCGTCAATTAAAATAAAAACACTCTCATTGCCAACTCTGCAAACGAATGCACAAAACTGCTATTGATAAAATACACAACAAATGATTTTGTTGAGAAATGTCGTGAAGTTTTCTTTGTAAAATTATTCTAACATCTCTGTAGTCCGTCACCAAAATTCATTGGTCTTCCCAAATGGGGATTACACATCGGTGGTCTGAAAAATTGGCACATATTTTGGGGCACTGCTTGTGGCATGTTTTGTGGTGGGAAGCCTGGCATCATGTTTTGTGGTGGTGGTGGAAACGGCGGTTGAATATTTTGTGGCATCATTGCTGGCGGCATATTTTGTGGTGGGATTGCTGGTGGTATAAATTGAGGCACAGGGTGTCCTTGAGGCACATTAACCGCTAGTGCAGGCATCGTTTGTTGTGTGAAGCCTTGGTGTACATTCTGTGCGAAAGCTTGATTATTCATATTCGCTGGACATTGTTGAGCAGCCATTTGTGCATTGTTCATTGCGATATTGTTCGGCGACACTCTGCAATCGCAACACGTCTTTTGTTTTGAGATCACAACAACAAATCGCAATTGAACACTTTGAGTAACTTTTTCTGTGTCATCACAATAACGCTCAGTAGAGTAACAATTTTAAAAATTTCCAAAATTGTATCTCTCAAAGAGATGCATATGGGCCTTGGAAATACTGCGTAAAATTCTAGTTCAAAACGATTGGCTTGAAAAGTCGCAGATTCGTATCATCAGATTAAGACACTGTCGCATCATTTCGACGTCTCACGATGTTGGCAAAAGAATATCACAGTCCACTGTCCACAATTCGTTGAGATCGATAAATGTAATGGCTAACGACGACTGAAACCCTGCTGTGTTGGTTCGTCTATCTCCTTTGTCTGCGATACTCGGCAAATCAGCGATCTCACGGAGTTCCTCCTCTGAACGCAGTCGACGACCAACAGTGTATTGTGAATTCGTTATGTCCGGTAGATTCTTCAAGTCTTCTAACTGAAACATTCGTTTTTTTTATATCTCAACTGATATAGTGGCAAAGTTGGCAGAGCATTCTGCAAATGGGATTGGATTCGATGGATAAATTCCGATGTGTATCACATAATCATTGCTCACTTGTGAAAGTGCTCACCTCCTCAGCAGTAAATTCATATCGATTCAAAATTGGCAACTTTGAACGCTCATCGGCAATCGGCGGAAGCTCTCGCAGTTCTTCAATCTCCTCACGGGTCAAGTGCTTCTTACCGATCACGTAGTCGGATGGAAGGATGTCTGGATGAGCATTCACTTCCTGTAAAATTTTTGCGCATAATAGTCTCAGTTCTAAGCGACCCCAAAGCATTTCTTTCAGTACGTTACGGTTGACTTCAACTATTTTAAATTATCCGACTACTCCATTGAAATTTATTGCCTTTTCAAGTTTATCACTCTCGGAAAGTATCGTTGTCGCCTACTGTTCTTTTTTCCTGTCCACTTCCAATCACGTGTTGATGTTCACGTGAACTTGTTGAAATAAATGAGTCAATAACTGAGGTGCCTTCAAATCATTGTATCATCAAATTGTACGCACCATAATTTCCGAGGGTGTATACTGAAGACGTTTCATATTTTGTGAAAGATCCGGTTCAGATGTGGTTATAATTGCGTGAGCACCTTAAAGCAAATTATTCAACATGAAGTTCGTAAACCGGACTTACAAAGTTTATGGATCAATTCGCTTTTCATCAAACGAAAATCGAATAAGATCAGCCGTATTTGATAACTATCATTATAATGTCAATTTAAGTGACCATTTTAGGAACCCGTATGAGAGTCGTTTCATTATACCTACAGCTTTTCCATATTACAGTGTTTTATACCTTCATTATTCGTATTCGGTAAGTTTTTGTTATCATTGGTGCTTTCTTTACTTTGTGGTTTCACTGCTTCCTTCGATCCGGGCTGATTCGGCTGATTCACCTCTGCAACAGTCATATTAATGCACTCTGAACAAACATCGATTTGTTAAACATTCACATGCGTATATTCAGAATGCAAATCAAATCTGCAGTAACCTTTCACTTGTTGAAGGGAGCTCCGATCTCATTGCATTATACTTTCGAATTTGATACATTTGTGAGTGTCGTTGTCATTTCGCAATGAGTACATTCACAACTCATTATGAATCATTGTGAATTGCGGAATGAGAATGACACTCATCACGCTTTTGCTCAGCTCAGCATAAAAAGCTCACCGTTTACACCAAAGAAATCTGTTAGGCATTTTGTATCCCTGATACTCTCTGGAGCAAATGCCTAGTGAATAATCGCTGGTTTGGATTGATTTTCATGTACAACTGATTATTTATTTATCCAGTCAACATCTGTGCCTCTCTGTTATCACCATTATAACAAGCACACCTATGTGGGAATAAACCTTGAACAGGACATCACCTCAGTTCTAGTGCGCTTTCAATGAGTATCTGATCAGAAACACATCTCTTCAACCGCCATGTACAGAAATTTCAACGACTCATCAAATGCCTACGTTTTTCTTCGACTTTGTTCGGTAATTGCTTGATCTCAGCGTTACTCTCGGGTCCAGATGCTCGACGATTCAGCGTTTGGTCAGATCGTTTTTGTTGTTTACCTGCGTTAATTAGTGCATAATCATAATTAATTAGTGTATACGGTACACCACACAACATTAAGCAATAATTTCGGCATCACTGAGTTTCCCATCCTTACGTTGTCGAGTAATTGGATTGCATCTAAACAACTTACCATCGCTTTCAAAATAATCAGGCAAGCTGTTTATCTCAGCAATACTTTCGGCACCAAACGCTCGGCGATTGATTGTTTCATCGGATCGGATCGAAGAGACATCTGCGAGAATATTTTCAAGTGTAGTTTTCTGATTTTGCAATCTCTTGAAATCTAACTTTGGAAATTTAAGTGCGGTTGATTGCAGCAGGTTCTCTTTCGAAAAAGCAACACAGTGTTTCTATAACTTGCTCTGTTTTGAGTGATTACTCAAATATCTTGTGTCAAGGTATTACGGTAAATTCTTGATGCTAGCAATGCATTTATTGCCGAATGCTCGGCGATTCATTGTTTGATCTGAATGAGCAGCTGCAAAATTTGACATGCAGGAATGTTTTTGAGCGGTTCGTGAATTATGTTTATCCTTAGCATTAGGCTATGAATTCACGAAGTTCTATATGTGATCGCGCCACCACTAACTAATCACACAACAAATCACATGCTGGATGTTCCATTCAAGCCAGTCTTTCACGGCCCTACACTGTCTTGCTGCGGGAATGAAGCACTTTGATTCAACGTCTCGATAAGGATAATGGAAAGTCAGCTAAACGTTTGTCACAGCAGTAGCTCTCTGCCCATGTGTTCAGGTAAGATGGTGTGTGTGCACTTACCATGCGGACTGAAACAATTCGGTAACTGATTGATTTCGGCAATACTTTCACTACCAAACGCTCGACGGTTCAGTGTCGTATCGGATCGTTCAGCATGAACACCTAAAATTGTTTATCAAGAAATTTAACGGCGCCAAACTGTGCAACTTGACAAGTAATATTCTATCGGCTGTCCAGTTTCTCATCCTTTGCAAATTCAACTTATTCGAGCTTATAAGCGTTAGCTATTTTATCCGAATATCCAAGATGTGCGTCGATCGATTCGAAATCAGCACGAATATATTGTAAGAATTTTTGTAGTTTCATCCCATTCCTCCTAACAAAAGCACAGAGCTTCTCGACTGCTTCTAGTCAACTTCCACCTCATATGATATTTTTCGTTATGATCACATTGATTTGTAAACGCTCATTTTATGTGTCTTACCAGGTTTTTCGAATGTATTTGGTAGATTCTTGATCTCAGCGATACTTTCTGGTCCGTACGCCTTTCGATTAACAGTTTCATCCGAACGACTTTTACTAGACATGCTTCCCGAACGTTGAGATAGTGAGGATGCTTAAAATTATTTCGCGTTCGCTTCAACAACTCAGATTGGATGGATGACAGTGCTAAAAAGCGGTATGATCTCGAAAAAATGGCAGCCTCATTCAGCTACGTCGCTCCTGCAACGTTGTTGCTTAATGAATATGCTTCGATTGTTGAATTTTTTTTTGAATTTTTNTTTTTGTGACTTCTAGAGAAGTGACATTATGAGTGGAACATATTCGGTAATCTAGTGAAAATACCAGATCTGAAGGTGAAATTCGGAATACTGTCGATTTGGCGTAAAGTGTCCAATCCTGGCAATCCAACGGTGTATTGACTGTGCGATCCTTCTTAAGATATAACAATGAAAAGAGATCTCAAAATAAATCAAGTATCATTAAGGAGATAAATAAGTTGTTTGGCATAGCAGTTCATGCAACAATTGTAAAATCTTCTCAAAATCTGAAAGAACAACCGCATTCTTGATGAGAGCTGTTGATATGCTTAAATGGGAAACTTGCATGCATGCAATGAACATTTACCGTGATATAAGTCACCGTATTTCTAACTAACACATGCCAAACACAACACTCAATAAGCGTTCTTGTTATTGTTGAGTGAACTGTCTGTCATCAAGGATACGCTATCACTTCAATCGCTGAGATTTACCAGCAGCCATAGAAGGAGCTAAAGACCTCTCAAACGATTCTGTTAGGAGAAAAACAGAACGACAAACCAGTTTCACAGTTGTGTTCGGGAAGAATTCTTATGTCGATAATACTGCTCATCCTTCTTCGTCTTCTTGGTTGAGTCACCACAGCATCTGAAACACGGGCCAACTTCACTGTAACTGAGTAATTCCGGATATACTAGGTAGAATTTCCACAAGAGAAGAGTGAATCTATCAGTGACTTAATACAACAAGGATTTTTGTAAGTAAAATTAGAGTTCACATTTCTGTGATGAGACAGACCATGGGAATATTGGTAACTCCAGATCAGCAAAACACTGATCAGCCTTCGACAGTGGAATGCAGAGGACGCAGTTATTCTACTCAGTTGAATCCAAAAGACATTGTACCAGGAAACATGATGCTGTTACTCAGAATTTCCTAATTTTTTGAAGGTTTGTCACTCAAAATGTCCAAAGCACCGGCCCATCCTTACTGATGCAATTGAAATGGTGTTATTTTCGAGAGTGCTTCGGTGCCGCTCGAGGCTTTCGATGAATCTCTATGAGAAAATGTTGGTTATCCCACATTTGAACATTGAAAATATTTAAAAGAGTTTTTGGACGAAACATCTCGTATGAAATTTCAGCATAATTCATAATCGTACGTTGTTGTCCACTAACAGCAACCAGTTGATTCTGTTCACGCACTTTGCTAATCGTATGCCTAAATGAAACCACTTTTGAACACTACTGACATATGCCTTGATCATTTAGCACAGTGGTTCTCATAAGGAGTGAATTTGCCCATTTTAAGTAATTTGGAGGTATCAAGGGGTAATGGAGTGGGTCGAGAAATTAGTAGTTCGTGCAGTTGTTTTTTAACTCGAATATCTGAGTATCGTTAGCTTGTCCGAGCCTAACAGGGTTTTCATTCGTTTTAACAAGGTTCTCATTCTTTTCTTACTGCTATAATCGCTCTCATAACTTTTATCACCAAAAGTGTTCACTTCTGCTGATTTCTCATTCATTCCACTCAACAATTAATGTCAAATTCTCATTCTATAAAATACACTATATCATTGATCATTTGACTGTTGAACGTTGAGCAATAACATTCGACTGCTGTATTGTTGACTTCGGTTGTCAACACTCGTCAACGTAATGAGTAAATAGTATATGCTACTGAATGAGAAACTGATTCGAACTGTGAAGTGAAATGAGACGAAATGAATGAGAAAAACTCATGAAGAGAACGGTATTCACATGCAATAGCTGTGAGAGTGAATAGAACACGTCTGAAAAGAATAAGAATTCGTCTAAATCAATTTGAAGTGAGTGTGTCATAGACAATAGCTTTTCATGCAATCATATTCGATTGCAATAATGAAGAACGTAACGGTCTAAGAGAAGACCCAGCGATGTCAATTACCATCACGGACGTGCTAATAAAATTGAACGTAACTGTCATCTGAGCATAACATATGCGATTTCCATATTCAGTAGGAAGAGGGGAGGATAACAGCGGCCTGACAGGTTAACAAAAGGGGTAATGGAATATTCGAACGTGAGAACCACTGATCTAGCTGGTTATAATTGATCCACATCTTCGTGAACTGATTCTCTCTCTGATAAAGACCGTTAAACTTGACTATTTCCAACCAGTCATCAGGATTTCTTGCAGTCCTATTGATAAGAATTGAATTGAACTGAAGAAATGTTTTCGGTGAAGCATCTATATAATTATGCACTTAGATCTTTTGCCTACTCAAGATGGTTTGATCAACAACTCACAACGTTTCGCATTTTTTACCAGTATAACCAAACATGTCAGGTAAGGCATCGTTTTCGGCTTTCTCTTCAGACGTGAAAGCGCGAGCATTCAGCAGTTCTTGACTTCCTTTCTGTTTCGGATGATACAGCTGAAATTTCTGGTTGAATATCAATGTTGGTTAATTGTAAAGTATTTGTTCTAGCGAAGCTTGTGACGATAATTTCGATTTCATTGCCTACTCGAGCGATTCAATTACTTTTTCTTGATGAAAAGACTGTATTACTTATTTTGATCTCAGCTATCACATAATCGTCCTCTCGAAGTACTCCCGGTTTCAAAAAACAGCTGAATTACTCGTCACGTCCATCTTGATATGGTCACTAACAAAATGAGAAGTTTAACGGATATTTGTAAGTAATATTTGACGTGGAAATATCGGAAAATACAGGTTGTAAATAGATTTCGAACTGAGAGTATGAAGTGCGTGAAATCTAAAGGGAATATTCTTTGAAAATGAACAAATTTTCCAAATAGTTCATCAAACAATAGTAAAATCATTACGTTTTCTCGAGGCGGACCTCCATGTGCAACCTGCAATGGAATAGATCGTTTCGGAAAATCTATAGACTCTAGAATTGAATTATGCTTTCTTTTGATGGAGCAGCTTCTTCGTGCAAATCACTGCACACAAGATCAACAATCTAGTGCTCGTAAAAAGTGGGCACTATGAATTTATTTCATGCAAGCTAATTGTAAGGATTTCATCATGAGAATTCAGATTGTAAGGACGTGATTTTAGGAATCCTTCAGATTATCTCAGTTTTAAAAATGAAGCTACTTGAGTGGGTGTTGCGTCCACCAGTTGTTGAGATGTTGTTGTTGTTGTTGTCAATGTTGACTGCGTTGAAGTGCTTAGGATCCTGCAAATATCACCATTGAAGAATGTATTTGTTACGCAAATTTAGTTATTGAATATAATAGAACTATAAAAATTGATTTGTCGAATGTAACAGAACTTGTTCTGTCATTACCGGATGCGTCACGTCAAAATTCAACTTCGAAAAACGCATCCTTCGACAAGCCATTAAATTTAGACCCTTTATGGCTCACATAAATTACCTGGGTTGAACAGGCGGTGTGATGCCACGACCACCGAACTGAGAATATTGTTCAGGGATATTATAAGGATCGAGTGGTTTTGATGGAGGCTGCAAAACAATTTTCAGCATTATCAAATCTTGCGGTCATGTAAGTCGATGTGTGATTATCAGTATGATCTTCGAATTTTTCCAGTGCCAGTTTTTTTTGTAAAACTGATCAGCTGAAACCCGTTGTAAGTCCACTGCTTGAAAGCGAATCGCACTACTCATCTAGAATAGGTTGGGAATTCGATGAATGAATGTGAATGTAACGTAACCTTCAACTGTCGAGGTGGAGGAGGGATATGTTGTGCCACTTCAGGCAACATTTGTGCCTGTAACATTGTACCGGTCGTTGCTGAATGAACTGAACTTCTGAAAATTCCGATTGTTTAAAGTCAATTTGCTATCAAATGAAATTCGCTCTATGTTTGGGTAGTAATATAGGAAAATTAATGCTTGTATCTTGTACGGCTTACTTTATGAAATTAAAATCCTAATTTATGTCTTCATGAGTGTATGAATATTCAATTATGAAGATTTCATTGAATATCGCAGCTCAACACTGCACAAGAGCGATCATTCCGCTTGATTTGGATCATTTTTATAGAATATGTACAAAGATTACGTTGCTGTTACTGGTTGCGAGAAGATACTACCGCCGTATGCAGCAAATCTTTCCGGTCCCCCCTCCGGAACAACTCTATCTGCATTATCCTGCAAAAAAAGCTTCTCACCATGTGTGATCACGAATCATCACCACTAAATTTTAATTGCTCTGCTCTATTTTGCTTGTAAGAGAGTGACACTAAAATTATTGCCACTGAAGAAATCTTTCATACGTAAAACATCTCGAACAACCTCCCAGAGAACACAACCTTGGAATGTGCTGGCTGCGCCGAACCCGCGGGACTTCTGCAAAANAAAACAAAAACGTTCAAATTGTTCACACAACTCGAACTTCACACTTAAAATCTTCTCCTGATACACGAATACTACTATCATATCTGGCATTTTAGAGGAGTAATTCAGCGGTGACACTGATCATGAATATCGCAGCCCATTTCTAATCAGGGATTGTTTTTATGGTTATCATTTCTTTGTGAATTTCGCTGTTGTATCACGATTCTCATATTAAATACAATATTCCTTTGGCATCTATCTCATTCATTAACTATCGCTTGTATCGTTTGTCTTTGTTTATTCTTAAGAGCATGAATATTGTTGCTTTTGGTTACTTGCTCAAGTATCAAAACCAAGTGAGACATACTGGATCGTGGCCGCACCACCGGATTGTGGTATTGTGCCAGGTTCTCGAAGAGCGACATGTACTCCATCCGGGGAGTACACATAGAGAGATTCAAGCACAGTTTGATCAATGCTCAGTAAACGCGTTCGGATTTCGATGAGAATGCGGCACACTTCATCTCTACTTATATCTGGCATACGCACTGCACACAAAACCGGATCCATGAACTGAGCAGTTCGTTGATGTTTAAGCCTGGAAAGGAAACCTAGTCCCGTTGGTCAGGGCATACAGTCAATGTCTTGTTAAGATCACCGATCAGATAGTCATTTTCGGTTCGCTGATGAGCCATGTTTTGAGAAAGGATAAAGACAGCTAACCATTGAACAGCCAAATTCAAAAGATCCACTTTCTGTAGGAATGGCACATTTTGATCAGCAACAAGCCCACCAACCGATCGGGGTGTGATATTTTTCAGATCAGCCTCGGTAAGTGTACTACAAGTGCTGGCGACCAACGAGATGATACGACTCAAAACAACCGGCGATACCTGTAAATGAGCTCTTGGATGGCAATTATTAAAATCTACCTGCACTTGCAAATCATTTGCAGATGGTGGGTGAGTCAGCATTGAAAATGATAAAGAATCCAACTAATAATTCTCAAATGACTCGATATGACAGTACGAAGTGATGTTATTATTATTGGAACCTGTGCACTGAACGATTTCTTCATGCCATCAGAGATTCATGAACTACACTTAGGACATCCGGTATGCACTAAAAAATCTCAGCAAAAGAGTATTTCTTGCAGATGGCGAGTGAGGTGCTTCATACTCTGAATATTTTCGATAAATTGATCACATTTTTGAACCATTCAAGGCAATCGATCCTTCATCATTATGTTATATTCGTAATGCTGGCTGGATTATATTGGTGTTTCAGCCGTGACGAGTTGAAGATCAGTCTAACCTTATAGCGTGGTTCAATGGCCAGATTGAGTGCCGGTATTCGCAAGTCAGGACGAACGGCACATTGCTGCAGTCTGTATTCGAGTTGTTCATGCAGTTTCGTTACACCCATTGCGGCCGTTACTTCCAAATGAGCCGCCATATCGGAAATCATCACATCAATCTGAAGTATCCACTCGAATTCACAGCGAATTTCGAGCATAAGAAATTTAAATTCGTTCAAGTATGCGGTTTTTTGAACCACTAGACCTTAACCCATGATACTTAAGGCGATCAGTGATCAAGAATCATGATCCATTCGGTCGCCTCACTCACCTCTCCGAAATACATCCAATCGATCACTCTCGAGACCGCTTTTGGGTGATATCCCATCAAACTGATCTCGTATGGAGGTCTGTGAGATTCAATTATCTGAAAAAATCATTATTTTACATTAGAATTCATCTCGGGATATCTTATACTGTACTGATCGTCACTCATATGGTTGATGAAGATTGACATATTGGAATTGCTGACGTGAACTAACTTCACTCACTGTTTCTCTCAATTCAATTGAGCAATTTTAATAGCTCACCATCACTTGCTATGCATAGATCATTGGAATACAGATTGATGCTAGGCACAGGTTGTCAACATTTTTAAGATCTGGAAGTGTCTCATATCTTCAAGGTCCTATTATCGGAAGTATGCTCACTTGCAAGTTTCAAACATTCATCGAATCATAAGAAGTTGTTACCTGACGTAACATTCTTGAATGTGTGCAAGCAATTACGGAATGCATGCACTCGTTGAAGCCAAGGCATCTGACACGAACATCGGTCAGGCGATTGTCTCGTCTCTGACGACAGTCTCGCAGATACTCACCAACTTTCGCAAAGTGCGAGCGAACATCCGACGAGAAACATCGAATCATCCCTAAAGCCCTTACGCCAGCTCAGTGCCACTCTTCTAAGCCATTCAGTCTATATCGAAATACTCTGAGCATAATCACTTTCGCAGCTCACTACTGCTGGCATAATCCATATGGTGTTGTGTCGAAATTTCAGCTGAACCTATATCAAGCCACTGCCGTTAATTAGAAGAGGTAAGAATTTACAACATCCGATTATCGCATTTCATTCTGAAATAACTGTTCGCTTGCTCTATTTTTCGATCAAAAACCAATTTCAAACCAAGTTCTGCCAAAAGCCTTACCTGTAGCCGTAGTAGAATGAGTCATACAAGCCATTATCCGACCACTTTCCTTTCTAAACGACGGTAGACCTAAGAGAGCGCTCGCCGACACAGTAAACGATAACACTGACGAGTGCAAGAAGTTGAAACGGTTCGATATCGCTTCACTAACTAAGAAATTTCCATATAAATGAGGCGTAATTAACGCAAACTCATTCTTGCATACAATTGGCATTTTTGCATTTTTTGCAATGTATCGTAATGATTTTGATTATTTCCTGTATGCTAATGTCGAGAAGTATTTCGTAAAAGAATGCTACGTAGGTACTAGGCGAGTCAAAACATTTTCACGTTTGAACTCTTCTGAACGATCCAGTTCGATTTTTTCGAAATGTGCTTGCCTGAGCTACCTGGTATATGAATTATAAATTAGTGGTAGTTGGTACACCTGAGTTACAGAACTTTTTATTCCAGTCCCTGAAATGCTCTTCAACGGCCAAGTGCAGTTGATGTCGAGTTGAATCGCCTGTTCACAATTGTTTGCACGTTTGTCAGTGATCGTTTTTAGCAAATATAGCTTATATGACTGATTAGGTATTACACGACTGATTCTTTCGAATTCGCATTATGTATTGATATCCTAACAATAAGCAATTTTCGACATGTGGAGAGGGATATTCGTTGCAAAAGGCACCACTCACTTTCGATATTCCTTTTGATGCGATCAAACTGACCAATCATTAGCTGGGCTTACTGTAGACCAGTAATGCTAGTTCCACTGTTTGCCCCTTCAGACGCTGCCACTGATTGCAATTTATTCTTTCAGGTTCTGAGCGAGCATACCGTTAATCCTCCTGATCGTGATCAGTCATGTGTTTCGTTTACGCTCACATTTTCAATTTTTTCAACATTTTAATCCCTGTAAGAAATGTTAATCATAATGCTATACCGGTGGTTCTCACGTTTGGTTGCTCTATTCCCATTTAAATGATCCGGCAGGCCGCCGTTACTACCAAATTACCCAAAACGAGTAAATCGACTTTCTATGAGAACCATTGACCCAGACCGTTGCGTTGCTCATTATTGCAGTCGATTATGATTGCATGAAAAGATACTGTCTATGATGTGCTCACTTCATACTGTTTTAGATGGATTCTCATTCTTTTCAGACATGTTCTATTCAGTCTCATAGCAATTGCATGTGAATACCGTTCTCTTCATGAGTTTTTCTCATTCATATCGTCTCATTTCACTTCACAGTTCGAATCAGTTTCTCATTCAGTAGCATATACTGTTTACTGATTACGTTGACGAGTGTTGACAACCGAAGTCAACAATACAGCAGTCGAATGTTATTGCTCAACGTTCAACAGTCAAATGATCAATTATAAAGTGTATTTTATAGAATGAGAATTTGACATCAATTGTTGAGTGAAATGAATGAGAAATTAGCAGAAGAGANAAAAGTCATGAGAGCGATTGGAACAGCAAGGAAAAGAATGAAAACTCTGTTAAAACGAATGAAAACCCTGTTAGGCGAGTTAATAACACCACCACAATGGCTTTCTATCATAAAATAACAACTGCACGAAATACTAATTCCCCGACCCCATCTATTACCCCTTGATAGCTCCTGATTACCTAAAATGGGTAATCTCAACCCCTACGGGAATCGCTGCTATACGTTATCGACAAGTAGTCAAAGCCTTGTAATATAGAAGATCCAAGAGGTGATTCGCATTATGGGTACTTAACTCACGAATATGTGCTCGCCGTATACCAAGGTAACATAGGAATTCTTTTTGAGTGTGAAACAACTGATGAATAAATTTTTCAGCATGCAGTAAAGTAAAATTAATCATTGGAAAACGTTAAAGAGACTGGAATATTCGATATTTCGCTGTACTAATGTGAAAGAAAAACCCGGTGACAGCACCAGATGCTACCACGATCTCTGATTTCCTCTTTCTGGATGTTTATATGGCGCATTTGGAAGGTTGTTTTTTTTTTGTTGGAGAGTACATAATCGCTCGGTTAATATCCTTAACTGCTTGAACCTGAGGAACGTGTGAACATTGATAGAAATGATGCTTTGTTTATATTCGTAGTGATCCAAAATGAGCAGCAAATACTTTATTATGTTCGACATTCAGTTCGAAGTGCACGACAATCCACAAAAAATCAGTCAAAACAGGTGCAAAATACAAATGAATCAAACAAAAACAAAAACAAGAAATCAGTTGAAAGGGAACTGAAAATGAATCATTTAATTAGAAATATTCCCAACGTTGAAGGATTACACTAATACAAATACACATTCCCTGAGATCTATATGTACAAATAATACATCACAAAATTCATCAATGAGAACGCTTATGTCGAAGAATATCAATTGCTGAGTTGAATAGAAGTGTTTTGCTACAAGATTCACAAAAATATTCGATGCCTTTCTTTTGGCTATCAGATTTGTTCGATTCCAGATCTTCTTTCACCTGAAATATGAACAATTTACAAGATAGATTACGCAATCGCACAGATCATCAGCGCATAAAAACCATCAAATAATTCTCAAATGTTAAGAAATCATCTTACAGTAGTACTCAAACTTAAAGTAATACTCAAATACCATTCGATAAATAAAAACAAGTATTCCATAAGGAACTGCTTGAACCTGAGGAACGTGTGAGCTTGAATAGAATGAGTGTACGAGTAGAGAAAAAATGAAACAGAAGAAACACTAGCTCACTTTTGCGTCTCTATCCGAATTGCTGAAGAAACCAAACGGTATCGATTCAGCATCTACATCATCATCTTCGTTGAGTTTCTCGCCTGATGGCATTACGAAGCCGATTTCCACATTTGTATCCGGACAAGCGCGGCGAGTCATTCTGCAGACATCACATATGTGCAGTGCAGTGATCATTGTGAAGCGACTTGCAAAACTCAACAGTGATTTGTAAAAATAGACCATTGCACAATACAAATGATATGATCAGAACAAACTTACATGAATTCGACGTCAGAACGTAGGAAGGAAACAACACTCGACGGAAGTGAGTCATCCGAACTCAGATCACCGTTGAGTCGTTTGGTCAACGAAGCGTTCATGCGTCTCCGAATCGATGCCACATTTTCAGCAGTTACGAAGAAATCCGTGGCACGCACAAATTTAAACTGCACAAAATCATCGCATATAATACAGTGATCATCTTCCATACAATTCACCTGTAATGGTTCTCAATCGCTCGAAGTCTATCAACAATCCTTTCATCTTAAAAATCTCTTCTCTGGAAGATAAAAGAAGCGAAATGAAAATCGATAAACGAACAAGGAAATACGATCGAAAACAACAATAAAAACAAACCGATTTGGCGACAATTAAAAGCATCAGAGCCGGGATTCGCAGGCTGTTGCAGATGTACGGTTTTGTTGTTTCCATAAAGGTTGCGAACGCGATCAGTTGATGGTATCGTGATAAACCCTTTTAATTTCACAATTGATCATACCGTGATAAACTATAGTCCGCTATCACACTATTCTCAAACGAACGAAATCCCACAGCAAATTTTTTAAAACATTGATTCAGTATTAGCGAGAAGATCGAAAGGTTTTAAGCTAAACATAAGCTGAACACAGCTTGATTAGAAGGCAAAATAATACAACTGTTCAAATCGAGGCAATCTTCGATATGAAGGAACAAGAAAAGTGACAATAAGCTCATACCTTGTCACTGCGATCATAATCTAACGCCTCGGGCATTAGAGCGATGCAGCTGTTCGGATGCAGTACCGCGAATGGTTTGTTGCGTGTATGTGCAAAGAGTTCATTACCAACCTAAAGAAACCATAAAAATAAGTCATAGTAACTTGTCACCGAGATCAAATTAGATCGGCTGCCTCCACACAGATGAGGCATTACTTGCTGTCGCAACAAAAACAATAATGTTATCTTATCATATTGGTTAAATAGATAGGTAGACTGTCAGTCATTGACGTGAATCATTACAGAAAATCATCGATAGCAAGTATTACTTGCATCCATCCTCGAGTAATTATAACTAGAAGTAATGACAGAAGGAGTAAACCTTATATGAATTATACTGATCAAGGACGGCGTACTGTGGGTACACTCCAGCCGTAATCAACATTTTAAGAATCTGCTGCGATGCATCGTTGAGACGATGTGATCTCAACACACCACCGATACCACGCTCACGATTCTTCAGGTAGAATTCCATCGCTTGAACGTCATCCATCAGCGAACGCTCACCTAAAAAACGATATAATCTTTATGTTATTGATTCAGACAGCAAAACTTTATCAACCCTTCAGAAACAGTAATCCAGTGCTGTACAGTAATCAAGACAGAGATATAAGACATTCAAAAACACTGATACAGTTTCTGTCAAAAAAGGATGAACCCAGTGTACCCATAAAATAAAGTTGACTCGTTGATCTAAATACATATTTTGTTGTAATATGCAAACAGTGGTCAACAGGTTCATTTACAGCCTATATCACACAACCAGCTTGAATACAGTTGATGATCAGAAGCCCATAGACTTACTCTCTTCTGCGTCCATAATCGAATCGAAATGCGTATCACTTTTCAGCACTTTACGTTTCTTCACTTCGAACCTTCAAAAGCAATCAGCTATCAAATACGAAAATTTGAAAAAACCATTCGAAACGTTTGATTTGATATCACACAATGTGAACAAAGATAAAATGTACAAATAATGTAACTGAGAGCAATGTAAAGAAATTTAATTCCCAACTGAAGAGTAAATTAACAACCTTGCGTCTTTTCTGATTTCATTAAGCCGTTTTCGATCACCGGCATTGATTCGTCGATCGCTGCCACTCTCTCCTAGCATCTTCTCAACAAAACCACCATCCTCTAACAACTGCTTGAATTGTTGTCGTAGTTGACTTAAAATAGCAACAATCCAGTTTCTACTCAAAATCAGTAAAAACTTTCTGTGCATCTTTGAATGATGAATGAATGTATTATTATGACATTTACACAGAACAACTCATCAAGGCAATATCAAAATCTGAATAAAAGCTCGTATGAAACGCTTTGCTCACCTTATTTCATAGAGACGTTGTGTGTCAATACCACGCTCTCGGCCCCATTTGCGGATGTCACCTCGATGACGTTGTTCATCCACGAATTCTCTGAAATACACAAAAATGAAATGTGTCTCACCATCCCAATCCACCGCACTGTCAGTCCAAACAAACAANACAACAACAACTCTAAAACAATCCTCAACGAACCTGAAAGTGTTGAGCAACGCGAATGGATCACCACTATCTGACATGATCGCTTGCCGACGAGTCAACTGATCCGGTTCACGGAACGAACGACTTGTAAAAGGTGACTGCACGGTGAGACTCGCCGCTATCGTCAGCGATGCTTCTAACTGATCAAATACACATCCATAAATCAGTACCTGTAGTCGTTTATGAATCAGAACCATTCTCCTGCGGTATCGACAAAAACAACCACAACGTGACACTTCACCTTCAATTGTGCACGTTTCAGGCAGATGAAATTTTGATGTGACCAAAAAACAGTATGGATGCTGTCGGTGTAACAATGTATCTTTCCGAGTTCTTCCGAAAAGAAACAAACAAATGAAATGAACAACAATAAAGCGAACGGGGAAACCTTAGCGATTGGTATTTCAACCGGGAGTGTGACGATGATTTTACCAAGCGGTGTGAGTGCTTTAGCCCCACCCGGTTCCAGAACACCTTGTCTCCAAAGAGCTGCAATCGCTTCTTCAAGAGCGCCCATATCCGGCTGCTCAATGAATGGAAAATCCATTGGTGTAACTGCAAATTCCACCATTATAATCGTTTGTGTTAAAGGGCCAACAAAACAGAAGCAACAAGAATTCAGAGCAGAAATCAAACTTTCATAATCAGAACATTGAATTTTCTCGATTTCTCAACCAAACGAATCAACAAAAAGCTAACGAACACACATGGCACATTATCCATATTAACGATCTGCATTGCCAGCGATTCCAATGAAACCCTATGAATCTCACTGATCGTGAACGCATCCATTTTCGAGTACTGCTCCTTTGAGTATAAGCGATAGCAAACTCCAGGGCCCGTTCGACCAGCTCTACCTGAATTATCTTATACAATTACTACACCCCTTCAATATCCCCTGTACACTATCATACGTTAACAATTCGTATCGCCCAGTGCAAATTTCTTCCTCGTCTCCAATTCTGACATTCGGTGATCAAACCCATCCAATCTGCTTAAGAGACAAACCTTTTCGCTGTTCAGCAGATGCTTGTGATGTCCAAAATTCACGAAGAGAATGCATGCCAGTTTTCGAGTCAAATTTCACCAGGTTCACCTTGCCAGAATCGATCACGAAACGGATCTGTACAAATCGGCACGATGATCAATCATATCGAGCAAAATTAAACCAAGACTGTCAAAAAATTTCTGAGAAATGAAATGAGATGATAAATAAGATGTGTATTCCATAGAGAAGTCGGCTACCTGATCAATCGTAACCGAAGTTTCGGCGATGTTTGTACTCAAAATGCATTTCCTAACTCCTGGAGGCGCCACATCGAACACCCTGTCCTGCTCTTCGGTTGACAACGTACTAAAANAAAATTGAATTCGACAAAGATTCAATGCATCCTTACAATCAGGTGTCTTCATCAGAACAACAACAACAACAATAATAATCAGATCGAAATCGTCAATTGATCAACTGAATTCTCTCAACTTTATGACATTCAATTTTCATAGATGAAGTCTTCTGCGATCTTTGCCAAGTGAACAATCGAAACTTATAATGATCGTTGTTCGATGAGGTCAACAGAAAGCATCGAACCTGTGCAACATAAGGATAATCCAACGTTTCGTTTGTTCCGCGTACACCTTGAGTGCTTCGGCCACAGTGCTCATTTCAGATATACCGTTCAAAAATATCAACGCATCACCTCGTTCACTACGATGCACTTTCCCGTCAATCATTTGCAATACCTTAAGCAAGAGACAATAACAGATGATCGCAACTGCTCTGACGAGCGTGTTGTCAGTCACGTTGCTTAGAAAAGTGAGGAAAGAGTGATCGCTAGCTCATCTCACAACTTCATTCGAATATACATACATCAGCGTTTCTTATGTCGACATTCGAATATACATACATCAACCAAAATCATACATTCAGATACGGCAACGGATCGATTTTGCTTTTTCGTTTTGTACGTTCGTTGGTCTCTGTGGCACCCTCTTTGATGGGCAGATATTGTACTTCAACTGGAAAAAGACGACCAGAAACCTAAAAGGTAAAAAATGAAAAGTTTGCTGTACAATCACATCGTGTCTGCATCTTTTATGACCACACATATGCTTACAATAAACAACAACAACAAGTTCACTAAACAACTCAGTGCTATATTCCTATTTTTTATTTATTTCCCATGTTCCCATATGCTCGATGGAATGTTCAGACCAATCGGCTAAACGTTTCTAACCTTTACAACCGGAGCGTTATCGAAATACGCTGTGAACAGTTCCAAGTTGATCGTAGCACTCATCAGAATCAACTTCAAGTCACTGCGTCGACGTACCAGTTCACGCAGTAAACCCATCAAGAAATCACCACACAGATTTCGTTCATGCACCTCATCCAAAATGATCACCGGAAACACAATAGAAGTTGCACTTTCAGAGTGTTACCAATTAACAATAAGACGAATGATAATCTCCTTTTGCCGGATGAAATCGACAACTCACATTATACTGCGTAAGATTAGCGTCCAGTTGCATCTGTCTCAAGAGCAAACCTTCCGTAAGGAACAGTAGACGTGTTCGAAGGGTGCTGGTTCGCTCGAAACGAATCTGATACGCTATCTTGCTGCCATACTCATCTAATGTCTCATATCCAACTCGACGAGCCAATGCTGTGGCTGCGATTCGTCTCGGTTGTGTACACGCTATTCGATCATAATCTTCTTCCAGCAGATATTGTGGTACCTCGAATTTGTATCGGATTACTGCGATTTCGATTGTATTGTTTGGAGGATCATGCCTATCATCAAGTTTCTGCACATGATTGGCATTCATTGAAATCAAAACGACCTCATTCAGATCCTTTAATTTTAATATTTTCGCCCAGTAAACCGGTTGGTCCACATAATTGTTAGCTTGAATATAATGAGGGGAAAATCAAAAAGAAAAGAAATTGATGAAAACCTGTGTGCTTTTACCACATCCTGTATCGCCAGCAACTACGAGCACCTGATTCTGAAAGCAAATAAACTAACTCAAAATTTGATTATTGTAAATAAAAAACAATTACACAATGATGCAACATCCAAATCGCCATCCAAATTAGATAATTCAAATCAAGTTCCAATACAATTTTCATGCTTGATTGGGACGGATAAAATCAAAGACTTAAGCAGAACTATTTAAATAAAGCAAGAGATATGTTTAAAGAATTCGTTAAATAGGATGGTGAAAAATAAAACAAACCTTCGAAAGCTGCTCAACAATTTCGCGATGCTTTGCTGCGATTGGCAAATTTCGCTGTGAATTGCGCAGTTGCTTAAGCTGATTGAGTTTTTTACGATTCTCGAATTGAATGAAACCACACAACGCATAGATGAATTCTTGAACCACATAAAGCTCCAACTGAAAAAAGTGAAGATGATCTATCTCGTTTTAACAATATACACGAACATTAATGCTGTCATTCACCGAAAGTATTTTGCTTTATCTTGTAAAACAGACGTTCCATCAGTCAATCAATCTCCCATCATATTATATCACAAGCTCACAAATTGCACTCAACTGAACATCTTTTCTGGCTCAGTCTAAGACAATTTCACAACCAATTGCAATTTGACAAAAATTTTGCTCATAACAAAAATGGACGATACCTAATTCAATTCATATTGAATATTTCCTCACCTAATACCTCAAAAAAAATTTTAAAAAAACTTGAGTTACAGCTAACACCAGAGGTATTTATGTAAAGAACTCGAGCAATCTTTGACATATTTTGATAGTAAACAGATTAAACAATGAACGAACATCGCGTAAGTCAAGATCCTCTTCATGACGCACATCAACAGCAACCCGGGAGGTGAGATGTCGTTGAAATGGTCCAATCGGCACACCAAGATGGTTATATTGCGGTTCATTCGATGCTTCCTTACAGGCCTTACGGTTTCTTCTATGAACAAAAAAATCAATGTGCATCATCGTGAGATATAACAAAATGAGAATATTACTCCTAGTTACTGAGAATTTATTTTACAATTTAAAAAATTCTATTGCTATCCAAATGAGCAACACAATCATCATATTTTACATAATTTCGCATATCCATAGTCAGTTTTTGAACTGATAGCTGAAGAAAAATACTCTGATTGCGAGAAATATTCATCTCAAAACCGTAACAAATACAGAGTCTTTTTTTGCATATTGTCAGATTTCTTATAGAATCAATGAGCAATGAATTTATCGAGATCTCATACTAATGCACAAAATTAAAATGAATGAAACGACTACAGATTTCTTCGACTTCTCTTATGCTACTCATAATTTTCATGTGATCAGAAGCATTAGTCCCGAATATCCATTCAGATAAAAGCAAAAAAAAACTGACCTCTTCAGTTGTTCTTGTAGTTTCCTCAGAAAACTAAAGAATGAGCGTTCCAGTGCAGAGTCTTTGTCGGCCAATTTCCATCGGTCACTACCAAAGAAACACCTCCTCAGTTTCGAACGATGTTCACTCCAGTCGATATCCATAAGAATGCACAAATCTGAAGAACCATTTCAGTTCTGCAGACTGCTAATAACTACGTACCTTTTCTAAAGTCACCAAACAATAATAACCTTAACGTTTGAACGAGCGATATATTCATACGATGCAATATTCATAATGCTAACATAAGCTACTTTGCTGTTGGCACTATGGCCACTATTGAAATTGAGCGACGATTCACTTCGATTTAACTGATAGTTGAGACCGGATGAAGGAGTTTCCTAATTTACCTTCAATGCTCGGCCATTTGACATTCTAGTTTGTTGTGATTTTGGAACTTTAAATGTTCGTTGAACATTATATTGGTATTTTATCGTTACAATGTGCTGTGGATAATTTCGTGCTTTGTTGGTCTGTTATCGAATGTAATGCAGAGTTAAATTTGAAGTTAGGTTACAGTGTTTGAGTGATTAAATGGCCACGGACACATTGACGAGGAGCTCGATTTGTTTGAAGGGTTCCGCACAACTCGTGCAGGAGTTCTTCCGTAAGTGTGTAATGTTTCATTCTGATGAGCATCCATTAGTTTTTCTCTCTGAATGACTTGGTAACTTCAGTTTTGAGTTGTGTTTCTTTACAGATTTTGGCCTCAATAATATTCTCTATCAACGTGGTATCTATCCGGCAGACTCGTTTCGACGTGAGAAAAAATACGGCTTGACCCTGCTGGTTACTTCGGATGAAAAGCTTTTGGAGTATTTGAAACCACTTCTTCAACAAGTTCAATGTAATGCATATGCCTATTTCTTGAATATAATTCGTGAACTGAGACTTTGAATTTTCGTTTACATTGTTTTGTATTGACAAACCGAAAATATTTGTTGCAAACTTGTGAGCTGGAGTACAATTCAAGATAAACTGACACTAATTGATAATGGTATCAGTAACTAGTAGCGACACCAATATTTCTTTGAATCGATCTCTTGATAGAGATTGCAGTCTGAACTCTTTTTTTTTGAAGACTGGCTAGAAAAGAAACAATTGAAACGATTGGTAATGGTAATATCAGAGGTGCAAACCAAGGAAGTTCTAGAACGTTGGCAGTTCGAAATTGAAACCGATCCGGATATTCAAGAAGAAGGGTTTGTTATTCACATTTCAAACTTATCTGAAGGGATTGTTCCGAGCATAATCCCTAAATTCCCTACTCGTTCAAAACAGTTCCCGTTGCTGTTTCCATGTGCCGCTCCACAATCGTTTCATTAAAATCTTTAATGAATAATGGTTTTTTGAATTGCTCGTTGAATCGGACTTCAAAAATCAGATAAAGCTGATTTTGAACATTATGACTGCATTTTGTAATGAATTTTTATCGTTCACTGCTCTCCATTTTCACACTGATTCAATGATCATTTTTATTGCAGTGAAAACTCTACACGACAAAAGGATGAGAAAAAGATTAGACAGGAAATGGCTGATGTCATAAGGTGAATTCATTGAATTTGTTTGTTGTATTCATCTCAGAATCAAATCAGTCTAACCAATTGATTGAAAGCAATTTATGAAATTGGTTCTGTTCTTATGCGCAAATTATAACGTCCTAATACCCAAACGAATTGAAACCATACAATTAACTGCAATCGTTCTGAATTGAATTCGTTCGTGTAATCACTCCTTAGCATTCTTTTAGTTTGTGTTTAAAAGTGTGTGAATGGAGCGATAATTGCGTGGTGCGGATTAGTTTTAAGTTAGCCAATGTCACATCATATCATATCTCGTACATAAACAAAAATTCTTCGAAATGTGAGAGAATGATGGTTATTGAATTTTTTAGGCAAATCACAGCTTCGGTGGCATTCTTGCCGTTATTGGAACAACGATGTTCATTCGATGTGCTCATTTATACGGGTCGAAACACGGACACTCCAGCAGATTGGACTGAGAGTGGTGCTTGCCACATCGAGAATGGACAACAAGTGCAATTGAGATCGTTCTCAACAGCCGTTCATACTGTACACACCCAAGTCTCGTACAAAACCGATGTCTAGCAGTTTTTGTTTTATTCTGTTGTGAATTGATCATTATTATTCGTGTTTTAGATCGGATCAGAGATGTTCTGGTTATTATCGAACAACACTGCTAAAAGAAATCGGTGTTCCATCGAATGCTTCATTTGATTTGACCAGAGCAATTCTGATTTTCTGAATTTTTGAGAATTCACAACTTTTGTCACAATTTCCTACGTATGCACCTCACGTCTGCCTCGGCGTTTCCGAAGAAATAAACTATTTTCTCGAAAATTTGATACTCACACTCACTGTTCTTTCACAACATTTCGTTCTCGATTCTTGTTCTCTTACCGCATGCTTTTTTATGGAAAATGGCTTTATTTAATCTTTTTTGATCATTTATTCATTTTTATCGTCTGAGCGATTTCAACGATTCAGCAGTGGCTGAATAGTATCAGGATAATAGCCGATCTGGCTGGAGGTTCTTCGTATCGAATGACTTTATCAGAGTATAAAAAAGCGGCTTGTTGGACAGTGGATATTTCCCGGTCATAATTTAAAAGATGTGTGAATGCGCAGAAATAAAATTCAATTTTCAATTTTGAAATGTTTCGCAGATAATTTTAATTCCATTTCCTCGATTCAATCTGATCACAAATCACTTATTTTGTCGAATGTACGAATTGTTATTCAGATGTACGCAATGGCCTCTGTGTGTATATTGTTTGTGTCATTTGCAAATTCTTGATGATGATTTCAAAATGTTGATATTGCTTTCGATACTGAACACTTTGTACGTTGGTAGTGATCGGTGGTGTTTGCTGGTAATTGTTTTAGATACGGATATGATTGTATTTCACTTTGATCATTATTGCCTTGAGCAGTGCATTTCTTCGTTGACTGATGACTTTATCGATGTTTGTTCCATTTATAAATGATAACTTGCAGTATGGTTTCTTGATTGGTTTTTTGTGGTCGCAATTCTGCTGTTCAGCCTAGCGAGTATCTATTATTTGAGGTATATTTGCAGTCAATACAATGTAACATATGACGATGATATGAGCAAAATCCATAAAGCAATAAATTTTCGCAGAGCAGTATCGAATGATCATAACTACCCCAATGCCCATGAATTACCTGGTAATTAAGGTAAATTACCCCATAAATTACCTAAATTACCAGGTAATTTATGGGGAATGGAGTATTCGTGATTATTGGATACTGTTCGGCGAAAATTTATTGCTTTCTATTCCTCCCACCAAACATGTCGCATTCACAATGGTTTGATCGGATGGATGCTTATTCGGAAGTTTGGACTTTAACTAATAATCTAGCAAATCTTTGAGAGTTCCTCATAGAATCTACTACACCAAGAATGGCAATGAATGCAATTGTGAAGCGTATTCTCGATGGCTTCAAACCAAAGGATCACGGTTTGACGGCAGATTTCTTACTGACGAAATTAACGCAGATGAAGGGATGTGGTTGTAAAGTACCGCGTGCGGTAGGTGTTTATACCCACTGATTCAGGCAGTTCCACCGTTCCGTCTTTTTGAACTCGGTCATGAGAATCTGCGTTCAACAAGGGCTTCATAACTTGTAGATATCCAGCAGCTTGTAATTTTCAGATTCTGCTGAAACTGCTTGAAGGCTTTGAGAAAGAGGAGAGCAGTGGTGACACTGGAATCGGTATTTGTTGTTAGCTTAATTGATAGTGCTTCAGTTAATACGATCGCTTCATTTTATCGTAATGTCTTCAGATGAAATACACCATAGAAATATCCAGCTTGATATTCTTTTTGATGTTTTATTCATTATCAACATCAGTTTCGAATGAAACCAGTTTCAATCGCTTTCGATTCTGATGATTGATAAAGAACATCTTGAGTGATTGCTACTACAATCATCAAATGAGAACGTTGTGACAGCTTGTTTGAATTTGAGATGACATTTTGAAGGTATTGGACTGGATAGCTGTGTGATACCACTTCGTCATAAAGGATTATCCTTAGTGCAAACTACAGATTTCTTTTATCCACTCGTCGATGACCCTTACCTTATGGTATATCAATTCTTATTCACTGCTGACTTTCGTTGTGAATATTCACAATTAATCAGGAATATTGTATGCATTTATGAGCTGAATAAATTCTGGAATAGAATATGCCATGGGATCGGTTCTGATTGATTGATCAAAATTAAGGGTCGTATAACGTGTGCGAATGTACTGAGTGATTTGTATGCAATGGGAGTGGCGCATTGTGATAATATGCTGATTTTGTTGGGTGTTGCTCGTGATATGCAAGAGCATGAACGGGACGTGATCGTTTCTAATTTCTTCGCTGGTTTCAAGGTATTCTGTTTGGTTTCATTGGCATTTGTCTCAGATTGTGGTGCGAAAATCACTTTATTTGTGATAAACTATAAATTGACATTGTTATATGCAAGTTTTCGATTGAACCGAGACTTTGAATTGATAGTAATGAATGCAGACGTTGAGTTGTGCATTCGTTTAACTCCGTGCGATTGTTAAGGACACTGCTACGGAAGCCGGTACAGCTGTTCGTGGTGGACAGACTGTACGATGTCCGTGGTTATTGCTGGGTGGGGTGGCAACGAGCGTTTGTACGGAGCAAGAAATGGCCGTAGTTGATGGGGCGAAAGCGGGTGATGTGCTTGTGCTAACCAAGGTAATTTATTAGTGTGGTGGGTGAGGCAGGAACACGTATGTTTATGTTCAAGAATATAGGCAAACCGATAAGCGCGTTTGAGTCTGGCGAAAATGGTGTCTGGTCAGCAAGTGAGATATTTCTCCTTGACAATTTGGATCATTGCATCTTCATCCGAACATTTCATTCCGCAAATCGCATTCCAATAGCTTGATGTTGCCAGACGTTAAGGTTATTATCCATCTCATTAGTATGCCCAACTATCGTTATCAGTTATATCGGGTGTCATTTCTAACAGTGTTATTATAAAGCCAATCGGAGGTCAAGTTGCCGTTAACACGTACGAATGGTTGAAAAAAGGCACTGGTCGAATCGAGGAATTGAATCTGGATAAGACAAAGATCTTGCGTGCTTATCAGCAAGTACTCGAGCAGATGTGCCGTTTGAATCGCAATGCGGCTCTTATGACTCTCAAATATGCTACTCACGCATCTACAGACGTCACTGGATTTGGAATTCTCGGTCACATTTCTATCGTTTTCGTTATATTCACTCCTAATGTAGAGATTATTAATCCAAGGAAGTGTTTGTTGCTGTTTGAAGTGTTTGTCTGTAATTCTGCTGAGTAGAAAGATAGTGGATTAATAAAATCAGAACTTATGTTAAGGTCATGCCGATAACTTGGCTAAAGCACAAAAAGAAGAAGTGCAATTCGTAATTCATACTCTACCAATAATTGAGTATATGAATGAAGTATCGAAAATAATGGGTAATGGTTTCAATCTCTATTCGGGAACGTCTGCCGAAACGTCCGGTGGATTACTGATCGCTGTCGACAAAGAAAAGGTATTCCATTCTGAAGAACATTCGTTCAGTGTTTTGTTTCATTACTCGATCAAGTTACTTCCATTCAAAGCGGAACGTTGTGTCCAAATTCATTGCACGAATCCTCTCGTTTGATTGACCATTGTTTACAAGATTGAATGTTGCAAAAGAGAACGCTCTACGTAAACGAAATAATTTTGAAGGCTCAGTCGCTATGTGACGAAATGATGCAGTTGGACGGTCATCCTGCGTGGATTATTGGCGACGTGGTGAGTGGAAGTCGGGGTGCTGATATTGTCGAAAACCCGTCAATAATCCCCGTTCCATCACGCATCCACTCTTCTTAATGCCGAAATTCAGTCATTCCTTTTGCGACCGGTTCTCGCACTGTTTACTTGAATTTTAATTGGGTACTTGTCATTCCTTTTCCTTGTCAGTCTTGACATATTTCTTGTTCTGCTTTGGTATCTGTTGTGTTTTTGAACATATATTTGTGAATTTCTTCTGTCTTTATTTTCTGCAATAGGGCACTATTGTGAAGATAATCATGATGCAACTCTACTTCTCCAGATAGCCATGCACATCAAACTCATTGCGTATTGTGCTATTCAGCAGTTTCATGCATGCTTAGTTCGATTGTTTTTGATATTCTGAATGTTTTGTTGATTGCATTTTGTGATATTGTCAGTAACCACTATTTTGTAACGAATCTGTTTGTCGAAGTTTGCATCGAATTTTGTTCTGATATGAATAAATAAATTCGATGATTCCAGTGAACGTTCTTGTTTGTACATGGCGAGTTTTCAAAGGTTATATCATTTGTGAACAACCTCATGAAATATGCATAAGCAAGATGCTTCCTATGAAGCAACTTCAGATGAATTCCCACTTCAAAAACATTTCGTATTCTTTAGAATATCGCGTTTAATGATGTGGCTATGCTTTCATTCGAAATTTAACGAATAAACTGTTGCATATGATGTAGCAGCCATATTTTGATAATGTTTCCAATGAACGTGAAATTCAAAGTATGGAGCAATCTGAGGGTTGACTTGCTTTTTCTGAATGCAATATGACAATGCATACATTGGAGATTGTACTGATTTTCAGCTTGCGATCTACTAATGATCGTATAATTTTTTGCACAAATCAAACAAACACCAGTTGGGTACTTCGAAGAGTTGCGTACGTTGAGCTGTTCTCACCGACATCATGTTCTGATGGCGGTATTTCAGGGCCTGTTCTTTTATGTGAAAAATGTATGCAGTTTCAGCCGAAATTTCCGTTTTTCAGCGATGCAGCACTATAAATTTAGTGCTCAGGTATCGAGGCACATCGCGTTGATGCTGCTGTTCCTCAACGTTCCGGGAATGTGTTGTCAAGCAGCTGTCTTTTAGCATGGCATTTCAGCTTGACTCCATAGCAGTATCCGAGATATGAGCAGTAAATTGCCCGTAAACTCATAAAAGCGACGTGCAAAATCGTGGTATTGAGATCCAGTCCGCTTTAGTAAAATAATTGTCGCAAAGAATGTTCACGTTCCATAGGCTGTGGGCATCTCAGACTTGAATTCCCACCTCATAGAACCCTAGCAAAATTGTCCTAGAGCGTGAATGCAGTTAGTTACCTATCGAAGTTCAATTATCAATTGGTGAATGATCGACACTGCATTGATTCAGACGGCAGAATGGATTTAATTTTTTACATTAGATACCTTTATAAAGTTACCCATAGGTCAAGAACTATACATAACTCGCTGGCGATTTGCAAGACATGCCTAAAAGTGCGTTAACAGATGGTATTTCTGGAGAATCTTACTGCTACATCAGTCTGAGAACACATGAAGCCTGAATTGAGCCAGCCTTACCTTGTCACTCGTTTCGGCATTCAAACATATTGATTTCTGAATTGGATACTTATATTTTTTTACTGCATATGTTTTAAAACCATATTTCACTCTTTTGTTTTCCGTTAGCGTTTCAGTTTTTGCATTAATTTTTCGTTCAATAAATGCTCTTGAGAGCATCATTATATTCACTCGAAGTAAAATGTCGTTTTGAGTTACTCTGAATTTTGCTGCGTATTCGATGTTCGTGACTTACAACGTCTAACTGGTGCAACAATAAAACTGCCGGATGGCGCAGATGAAGTTGCTAGACAAGAATCGGCAGTAATAACTATGGCATATACAATGAAGTACAATCCGCTCAACGTAGAATCCACACAATGCTGAATCCTCCTGAGGACTGCACACCAGAAGTTTATGGGTTTGAAATTCTCTCTTATAGGTATCCTATGAATTTCCTAGACTGAAACAAAGGTGGTCGTTAAATCAGTTATGTTATGATAGGAGGCCATTGTGGCGGTGTTTTTTCACTTGGGTATCAGTTCATAGCAGCATTCTTCTTAAGAATTGATTGAGCTCTTTGGTACGACAAAACAGATCACTGGTTTGGTGTAGGATGATTGAGTATTTCTGGATTTGATGATATCAACTTTTACAATTTCTAATTGTTATATCTCTTATGAATATTTTTTTCAACCGATATAATACTTCTTCACAAGAAATGTTGTTGCTCATCACGGAAGAAGTATTATATCGGCTGAAAAAATATTCATAAGAGATACAAGAATTAGAAATTGTAAAAGTTGAAAAAGGAATCGATATCATCAAATGCAGAAATACTCAATCGTTGTCGCGAAATATCGCGAATAA